CATTTAACCTGTATTAGGGGGTGAACTGGGCCAGTTGGTTGCTGTTATACATGATGGGAAAAACAGCTCTGAAATCGCGGACTACGAAGAACAAACACGACAGGACAGCACTGTCCTGTCGTGTTTGTTCCTCGTAGTGCGCGTTTTCTGAGCAGTTTTCCTCGTCGTGTACATTTAACCCCAAAGCGGATCATAGTTCCCTCCAAAAGGAGGTAAAAGCAGCGCCCTCAATTACGTCGTCTTACCTCTCAAAAGGGTTGAAATTGCCCCCTAAAGGAGGTAAAGGCTGACCCTGAAAGGATGCACTTTTAACACCAAAAGGAACTAAGGTTACCTCCAAAAGGACGCAATGTTGCACCCTAACCAAGGAGGTAAGTTTGCACCCTCGTTGCAGGCGGTAACGTTACCTCCAAAAGGGGTTGCCCTGTGTGCTCGTCATTTTCCCCCCTCAAGGAGGGTACTACAGTACCCTTTTTTTTAAGAGTGTAGAAGAGAAGGCCGTAGCGCTCTTCTCGTGACGTCGCGAAGGAAGGCCATCGGAGGCGCGCGTCGAAGCGAAGGCAACGCGCGTGGATCGACCGTCGTAACGCGCTTTTAGTCACATACGCGTGTCTTATTAGCTCAAATGAAAGCTGCACATAGCAACGGATCTCGAAAATATTTTATTACACGGGCAAAATATTACACCGCTAAATAATCCGTATGAAATGGTACAAGGTAGGCGTATAAGAGAAAACACTGAGTCACGCATTTATTGCTGTAGAAATGCATATTTTACACAAAAATACTTCGACAATATGGCGAGACACGCAGTGATTGGGCACAGGAAAACAGATCAGAGTTAAAAATCAGATAGACGTAGTGAACGCAGACACGGCTAGACAAGTGCCACGATCATGTAAACGATTTTATCGCGTGCAGTCACTGAATTCTTGCATCATACCCCGGCCACATAGCAAAAGAAATGTAATTTGCAGCGAATCACAATATGGGGTGGAAAAATCAGCTTGCGGCGCTCGTATAATCACTGAAGACCGCGAACTGATTAAAGGGACAATGAAGACGATTTTATTTAATTTTTTTAAATGGTGTTTTAATGCTTCTTGGGAACATAGCATGCCGCCCAATTTTTTGTAGACATTTATGACGCGTATTTATGTGCCTACGAAAGAAGTAAAGAAACCGAAACTGAACCATCTCCAGTCTCGTTTCTGGGCCTCCGAAAACGGAGGTGACGTAGGGAGTGACGTCAAGTGTGAATAGTCGGTATCGGTAGTATTTAGGAGATCGAGACTCTGGTTACCGCGATGGGTTATAGCAGCGCGGTGGCGCGGTCGTTGCGCCGACTCTGTCAACATGGAAGAATGCCGCTCTCGCGAGCGAGTTCGAGCTTCCGTTGAGTGACCGAACACCAACGGAACGGGAGTACGTGTGTGGCGGCCTCGGACATCACCCGACGGAGACCGCCCAGCCGGCAACGAGCGGCCCGCATGCCGAAGGACGGACGCGGGGGAGATGCCGAAGGGAAAGCGGCAGCGATCCCGCCGTTCCGGGATCCGGTTCCTCCGCGGACGTCCTCTTTTCGTCGTCAAAGAACACGAAGAGCAACCGACACGTGAAAACTAGCGTCGCCCGAACGAATACTGGTCTTCAGTCGACCGTTAGAACAGCCATCTACAGCTACCATTTTGCAAAATCTTTCGAGTACCGTGTTCTTTTTTAATTTTATTTTGTTGGCCCATAGTTGCTGGTTGCCGGTTTCGCGTCCAGCGTAGCAAAGAAAAAAAACAATAGAGAGTTTTAGGGAACCGGAACAAAATACGATCAATAAACATAAACGATCGATACCTTGGATCGGGCGTGTGGACCGATCGCGTGCCCTGAAACGGCTTTGGGGGAACCGTATTTGCAGACGATAGCAGACGATCGGTACAGGTCGCGCCCCCTGGCAACGGAAACCTGCATCCGCCTCATCGAGAAAAGACAAATTTGCGTGTGTTTGTACAAATCGCAGAAACTCAAGTAAATAAAGATCGCACCCTAAATATATAGAGGACCTAAAATATTGTATACCTACTTATAGTTCGTCTCGTTTTTTTACTGGAATGAATGCGCTTCCGTAATACAAAACCTGGCGCACCACGGCGTGTCGCCCCTAGCACAGCGAAGTTCTAAAATGTTCGTCTGCTAAAGAAGCAGACGAGCTTTCCGAGAACAATGGCGCTCGATCTTTTTGACCATGACTTGGAGTTGGCTCTATACAGCGAAAGCAATTTAGAAAAAGCGATTTTGTACGACTGTCTGCGCACTAAGTGTGGCGTGAGTCTCTTTTGAACTTCCCACTTCTTATAAGCGAGGCACGCACGCGCGTGCCGTGGGGCCCGTGACTTGTGCAGGGGCACGAGGGAATAAACATTCTTTTTGGTTTGCCATGACACGGAGTCAGTCGCATTTCTTTCGGGTGCCACCGAGCACCGATACACTAAGAGAAGGCGCTTGTTGGCGGCAAGGCATAGGACGTTCAACTTGGCGTAGCTTTTGAGTAAACAAAAAAGTTGTGATACCAGGAATGATGTGCGGATACCACGAATGATGTGCCAGCGTATTTTGTTTTTTTTTTCTTTCAGTTTACCAGATTTATATACTTGGGGAATAAAATAATGCCTCGACCGTAAATGGTAACTTGTTTTCTAATAAATCAGGCGTTCTCAGCGGGCAAGCTTTGGTGTTTTACATCAACCAAATATGATGTTTACACCAACCACGTCCTGATATGCTGAAACGTTGCCGAAAGCAAACTCGATTTGCAACAAGAACACGCTCGCACGCGCTTATCATCAACATTCGAAGTCGTCTGCTAGCGATCCTGCCTCTTTTCCTCGAGGCCCAATGCAGGATCGAGTATTAAGAAAGCTATGGACAAATAAAAATAGAAATATTAAATTTCGAAGAAAATACAAAAATAACCAAAATATACTCATTCTCAAGTTGATGCGGTCATTTTTCTTGTACAAAGCTAATTCAATTCAATTTTCAATTCAATTTTCAATTTAATTATTTTTTTGTTTTAAGATCAAGTCATACAAAATAAAGAACTGGCCCACAAAAGCAGCATTCTGTTTGTATGTGGGGCCAGGCGGCCAACTAAAATACATGTTGCTACAAAAAAAAAAAAGAAAACACTCCGCAGCACAAAAAAAAAATGAAAGTAACACAAAATTAGCAGCACAAATAAATACAAAAACGAACACTTTGGAGCATGAAATATATGTGTTTATAGCCAAGTCTACTCACGCAACCATGAAATAAAAGTACGAAATATCTCCAACGGTTAGGCTACGATATCTACAGCTCAGATGCTTGACACCAATTCCTTAGTTTCCTTTTTAGTACCCTAGTGGATTCTATATTCGTAGGGGACTCTGGGAGTTCGTTAGATAAGGAAGGAATGTTTCTGTTTTTCTTTCCATACAGTGTGTATATTTTTGGAATGACGTACCTTTCAGTGCGTCTCAAATCTCTATTTTTATTTACGAGGAGGTCAATCCGTTCCTTCGCTCCTCGCAACGAGAAGTTCTTTTTCAACGCTGCGTCATTCCAAAGTGCTGGAGCGAAAAAGGAGTAGCGCCTAGCACCCCCCGAAGTAAAAAGATGTTGTCGACTACTGTAAACCGCTTGCAAAGAGGAGGCGGAGGGACGGAGGTAGATGCGGCGCTCTTACGGTACAGATAGCAGACGATCACGGTCGTACGCCCGCGTACCGATCGTTGCGCCGTGTACGGTACGACCACGAAGAAAATATTAAGGAAAACCTGTAACTTTACTGCTGTGCACTTATTAAAACTATCACCCAATATTCAAAGGGCTAGTTTTATAGGATATATGTGATTAGCATTTGTACAGAAATTTTTAATTCATGCAACATTTTTAAACTAAAAAGTATCCATAGCCTTGATGCAGAAGGCTGTTGCTCGCTCTTTTGCCACTACAGATAATCCTCAGTCCTAACAGCAGCTGTAAAAAACGGGTGATAAGCGCTCAAAATGCACATCCGACGTTTGTATAAAAAAGAAAAAAAAACTTATAATATGTAAAAAAAAAAAAAAAAAAAAAAAAAAAGGTGTCTGGGTCACCGGGATTCGAACTCTCCAATACCGCTCTTCCACGAGCTCAAGAAATCGACGCTCCAATCCACTGAGCTACCGATACGCTAAACACCTATTTATTTCTATTGAAAAAGTCCTATTGCGTTATGTTCTTATTCTTTTCCTTATTTGCTGACTGAAACTTTACGGACTTGCTGTCACACATGGCGCTCCTGCCAGGCACTGCCACGATTTGTTTTATTCACGGATGGAGCCACGGCACGCTCTCTCCGCCAGAGAAATAGCCGTTTTGCTAACCAAGCGAGACTGTCCATGTCGGCCATTGTTCGTGCCGGTCGTGCCTTACGGTTCCACCAGCGCATTACGGTAAGATCGCAGAAGACAGGCGCATGCGCAGTTCGTACCGGAGGGCCCATCGTACCGTATCGGATGTGCAAAAACGGTTCCCTAAAACTCTCTAATGATGCTGCTTGATTTACGGTTTAGTAATCATTTCCGATCGGATTTATACTTTTGATGGTTATTCAAGTGGAAATTAGAACAGTATTTCTAAAAATCGCGAACCAAAACGTGACCGAGGGCACATTTCTTGTTTCGACCAATCGCTGACGCGTCTCTTGTGACGTCACGCTCCTTGGCCCCGCATCGGTCACGTGAGCTCCGCTTCTCCTGGCTTATCCCGCAACTCTTGGGGCGTCGCCCCAGTCGATCCCGGTGCGATTATTACCGCGACTGTTTAATTGATTTGCGCGGCACACAAGCGCCGGTTTCGGCTGAAATTTGGGCAACGTGGCCCGAGACGTGCCTGGAACCCAGTTCAATCGCCAAAAAGATCTCCGAAATTGCCTTCATTGTCCCTTTGAGTCCCATATCATTTAATGAAAATATATTAACTTTTCCGTGTGGTAGCCGAGCTGAAGCATGGCAAGCAACTCCACAACCAACGCTAGACGGATCGCCACGGAACTGACTCGGATCACCCAATGGAATTGTTGTACGTTTACGGCCATAAGTGCAGAACTCAAATTACGATTTGAGACGCAGCCCCCGCCCGATGTGCTGCTACTCCAAGAAACAAGGGCCCCGACCATAACACGACCGTGTTTCAACTTCTAGAGGAACCCTACCATCGAGAGGGCCCCTAGATTTCGGGAGAAGAGCCCTGTAACTAAGAGGGGCTGGGCAGCCGTTGGTATCCTACGACATATACCGCAAGCCCAACTGAATACGACAGCCCTCTGATCAACTGACAGAGAAGTTGTCGCCGCAGGAATCAGGCGTGGACGAACCAAAATCCCCGTGGCCTCTGTCTATCTTAGACCAGGAACCAAAGCGGTAGACGGGGAGATGATGCAGTGAATCAAAGGGCTCATCAAACTATCCGAAGGAGATCCCATTATTGTAGCAGGTATACGATATACGACCAACACGAGGAGGGGCAAACATATCCTTGAAGCCATGAATATGTGGGCCTCGAGGTGCTCAATGCACCCGGCGTCAGAACTAGGTTAGCCAAGCAGCGGAGGCAAAAGGACTCTACCCCGGACCTCATTTGGGCCTCGAGATGTCTCGACCTTGAATGAACGCCATGGAGAGATAGCCTCGGCAGCGATCACTTCCCCCTGGAAATGAAGCTCAGACATGGCCAAGGGACATGCTATAAGGAGAAGAGACCGGTAGTAAAGGTGGACCGTTTCAGGGAGCTTTTTGAAGCGGAAGACGATCAAGACGTCGAGATGAGCATACGCAAGGCACTCCGAGAAGCCAAGACGGAGATATTGGTGAAGCCCGATGCCCCCACCCCTGACAACCACCTACTCAATCTCTGGGCTAGCCGGCTACAAGCGCCCAAGAGATACGGTAAAAAGAAAACACTACGGAACAAAATCAAGCTAAACCATGCGACGGCGAAGGCCAACAGGTACACGAAGGAACTGGGACGCACAAAATAAAGAACTCACTGCGAGTCTTTCAACCAGCGCACCGGGCTTGGAAAGGCATGGCGAACTTGCCGGGGCCTCGACGGAAGGAAGCGCAGGACAAGAAATGCGGCACAAGCCCTTAAGCTAAACATAAGCGAGGAGGAGTTGGCAATCAAGGCCAGTGAACTTTTTTTTTCCCCAGGACGGAGGACCGATGACCCCAAGAGCAAAGGCTGAGGACTTGGACATGCCACTAGAAGCTGGGATGGAAGATCCGCTTGGCACGGGAGAACTCAGAGACGCGCTCTTCACAACAAAGACCAACAGCGCCCCCGGCCCGGACGGGTTCACCTATCAAGCACTCAGAAATCTTCCGGAAGAAGCCAAGAAAAGACTCCTGGACAAATACAATCAGGTCTGGGAGTCGGGGAGGCTGCCGGAGGATTGGAAGCTGTCCTGGGTGACTCCGATACCCGAACCCGGCAAGCCACTCGATCGAATTGAAAATCTGAAGCTGGTTTCCCTGACATCTAACGTCGGAAAGACGATGGAGAAGATTGTGTTCAGGAGGATTCAGTGGTACTTGGAGAAGCACGAGTGCCTAGATCCCAGAGAGACGGGCTTCCGAGAGGCAATGGGTACCCATGACAGCCTCAAAGATTTCTATGAAGAGGTTATGGCCGAAAAGAATAAGCAAGATTCGCGACTTGTCGTTGCTCTCGACATCCGAAAGGCTTTTGACGCTGTCCCTCATTGGGCTGTCGCTAGAGGAGACAAGGCATGCGGCATTCGAGCCAAGGAACTGAACTTCATAGAGGACTTCCTACGCAATAGAAACTTCCAGGTGAAAATTGGAGGCACCAAAGGTCCCCAGACGCCGAACTGCAGAGGAGTACCGCAGGGGGCGGTGATATCGCCGGTCCTCTTCAACATGGTGAGGGCGGGTCTTCCGACCCGACTTCGTACGATTGAAGGACTAGGTTTCGCCGTCTACGCTGACGACGTGACGCTCTGGACCCGCGGCAGATCCTTAGGTGAGCAGGAATGGACGATGCAACGCGGCATAAAACAAGTCCTGGAGTATCTCAATAAGTTCGGAATGGAAGCGTCCCCTGAAAAGAAGCAATACATGGTAGTAGCCAGGCCCCGAGACCATCGGAAAGGAATCGCCAACTCGATATGACTCGAGGTAAACGGGCAAGAGATTGGCAGAAAACAACAGATCAAAATCCTCGGAGTCATCTTCGAGGAAGCGGCGAGAAGTACAAAATGGCTCCCAGAGATAAGGAAAAACTGGGTTCATGGCTCGAAGCTCATTAGAAAAACAACCAACAAGTCATGGGGCGCCGAAGAGAAGGCTCTTCGCGTCCTGGCGGAAGCCCTGCTCACGTCGAGAGCTCTATATAGCTGCAACTGGCTAAATCTCACCTGCGGGCAGTGGAAAAAGCTAGAAAGATTGGATCACCGATCCATGAGGGTGATCACAGGCCTTCCCAACTCCACGCCACTCGAAGAGCTGAGTCAAGAAGCTCAGATGAGCCGTATTGAGGACAGAGCCGACGCACAGATCATCGCTCAATTTCTACGACTGGAGCGAACCAGGCAAGGTCGTCGACTTTTAGAGGATTTGGGGCACGACATAAGGAACAAGCTTCCACTTGAAGAACCCCTTCCACCGTGGCAAGATGAGCCAGTCACAGACCATCGGCCACTCCCTAAAGCCCTAAACGAAGGGAAGAGGGCAAGGGCTGCTAGACTACATGCAGCTTGGCGCGAGGAACATGGAGGGGGCGACGAGATACGCTATACCGACGCAGCAAGGACCGAGGGAGCCTCAGCAGCAGTATGGCACGACCCAAGAAGGAACAAGGGGTGGGCCGATGCACTACCGGAGGGCACATCCGTCAAAGAAGCCGAGCTCAGGGCGATTCTTGCGGCGATCGAAGACATCCTGAGCATCTCAGTAACGGCCAGTAAAGCCAGAATTTTTACGGATTCTCAGGAGGCGATCATCGCGACCAGATGCAGCAGGGCCAAAGGCCGCACGACTAAAAATATAAAAAATATGGCGACGGAGCTTCGAGAAAGGGGCACCGAGTTGTACATAACGTGGCTTCCTGAACACAGTGGAACAGCCGGGAACGAGAGGGCACACAGAGCCGCAGTGGAGGCAGCGCATTATCGCTCCACGCTTGGCCCGACCTCTCCATCCGGCAGGCACGAGACGGTAGATCCGGAGGAGCAGGCCGAACTTGACAGGCAGCGCTGAAGGCCTACTTCAGGGGTCTCCTACCACCACAAGAAGACAAGATACCAGCAGGCTACAGCCGATGGGCTACCGTCCGGGTCCGTCGTATCAGGACCAAGATGGCGTGCACTCCAGCGAAACTGGCGAGCTTTGGCTTGCTGGAACCAGAAGAAGCGAAGTGCGAGACCTGCACGGGGATCAACATGGCGACACTCCAACACCTTCTTTGGAACTGCAAAAGTCTAGATAGACAAAGACAAAAAACCCTCGAAGTCCTCCGTGAGGAAGACCGACCGAGGACGCTAGAAGAGTGGGCCCGGCCCAGAGGCTCGCCACAACACCGCAAAGCGCTCCTCGACTCCCTGATGGATTACATCAAAAAATCGGGGACACAGAACCTCATATAACCTCACCGCATTCATCTTCACACCCCCTCCCTCCCCCCCCCCCCCCCAACCCAAATAACCCTACCCCTCCTGCTTAAGACCATCTCGGCCATGGCAGGCGATCCTCCTTTGCATATCAAAGACATGTTTCACTCACTTCCGTGTGGCAGGGGCACTAAACTTACTATTTACAGTCAACTAATTTACTTCTTCCTATGGGCTCGAGCTGCCTTAGAACAAAATATAACTTATTTTGTATACAATAATAATATTACCTTAATACAGTTAAGATTGTAGTATAAACGCGGTAAAGGCAATAAAATAACATTAGTATAAATAAACAGATAAGCACAAACAACGCACTTTCAATAATCACACAAATTTGTTATTCATCTTCGAGTGAAAACTAGAATATTACCACGCATATTTACAAATGTCGACGCAAACGCTCACGGATAACGATGATCAAGATGCCATTCTATCACGAAAAACAAAAACAAAAAACAACCCGACTGCAGCACTTTACTCGCGTCCCACATGACCAAGAAAGCCCGTAAAAAAGTTGTTACTCACCTGTCGAACGTATCCATGCGTCCCACAATATCCGTGACGAAAAAAGTGAAAGCCGTTTACAACTTCCTGTAACGCCGAATTGGAGCGCAGCTCTTGAGGAGGAGGAGTGGAGGGTATATTCCTCCTCCTCCCTCGTGATCATGCCTGCTAGTCCTCCTCGCCTCCCGCTCCCACTCCCTCTCCTTTACCACCTCCTCGTCCTTCAAGCTCCTCCCCCCCCTCGCCTCCGGCTCCTCGTCTCTCCTCCCCCCTCCTCCACCTTCGCACTGCTTTCCTCCTTGCCGCTCAAGCCGGACAATGAGGGGAGGAGGAGGAGAAGGAGGGGGAGGAGGGGGAGGAGGAAGAGGGGGAGGAGGAGGAGGGGAGGGGAGAAGGGGGAGGAGGAGGAGGGGAGGAGGAGGGGGAGAAGGAGAGGGAGGAGGAGGAGAGGGAGGGGCGCGGTTACGCCGACGCCGACGCCGACGGCGACGGCGACGCCGACGCCAACGGCGACGCCGCTCAGGCTGGAAACGGGCCCCTAAGAGCTGCGCTCTAAAAATATGAACACGAACTTTGAGTCTCTCTCTGTCGAGAGAGAGGTCTATCGATAATCGACCAGTGTCATCGTTGGCTAGTTGCCACACATGTCACTCAAACCGTAGCAGGACTTGTTCCGCGCGAACACAAAAATACTACCCGAGACAGCGGTGACGACAAAGAAATGACGGGAAGGATCAAAAGAACCCCCCCTTACACACAAACACACACACACAGACGCACACGCACGCACACGCACACACACACACACACACACACACACCAGTGATGCGCAACCGCACCAATGCCTAAAAATTCCGCACGTGCTGGCGAAACGTCATCATCGAAGCTCCGCACGTTTTTCC